ACCACACACCAGGTATTAGTGGGGAGGAGAGCAGAGTAATGAAGCTAATTCATAGATTAATTAGATTAATTAATTAATGCAGCTGCTGATGAGTTACATCGCTCAATGTTCCCATTCAAGGCTGTAAGAGTGGGGAATACTTGCCTAGGTATAGGTAGGTGTGTATATATACAGTACAATTATTCAAGAATCTTTTCTTCATAAAACTTTTTTTAGTAGATCAGATAAAAAAGCCACCTAGTCAAATCTTCTCCTTTCAGGTTAATATAAAGATTAATATACAGTACCTCCCAGATTTTTTATGTTTTTCTGGGTATTCCCATCTTCCTAAACGTGTTTTGACAACTGTTGATTCACATACTGTATATCCTCGTTCATATGGAATAACAAGACTGTAAATGCAAATCTTTTCTAGAGAGACTTAAACTGATAGGGGCGTGGTATTGTCCAATTTTCAGTTCTTTTATTGAGCTGCATAACCGCTGTATTAAGTACTGGTTAATACCATTTACAACATTCAAGGTAAAAGTGGTACAATATTGAGGCAAGCGCATGTACAGTAATCATCCTTTACTGCTGACACTGATCTGCACACCCCTTCCTCTCGCAGTCACTCAGTACATCTTTAACCCTGTAGGTTGCTGCTACTACTACTAATACTTGGACCCAGTTTAGAAGAATTTTGGTTTCTGATCATTTTCCATCACTTCCCTTAATTTCAATGAATCACACTTTTCTACCATCCTTGTTAGATTTTGCCTTCCACACTTGGCATACTGTATCAGGGGTCTGAGATGCCTGAAGGACCTGTTTGTTGACACATGTTTCCGTTCATTGAATCAGCTCTCTTTCAAATTCAATATCCTTTACGGGTACAGATCCACCCGCATTGCTTACAGTCTTGTTTGGCATCCTCCTGACTGGCACTTCATGGCAAAACATCATTCTGAAATGCTGGCTAGCACTTCTCTGTTGGCTCAATGTCTCATTTTAAGGAGCTGGAAAAGGACTACTCCCCTCTTGCATGCACACTGGATCAGAGACATACTGTAATACACTTTATTAAGCTGGAAAAAAGTAGACTTGCATTGAAGGGTTCCACCAAGAGTTTTTACCGTTTGGAGATATTTTCTTATTTACAGTACATGAATGAGCTAGCTCTTTCAGATTCTGAAGATGTATCCTAAGTATCACAACTGTAAGCAGCTGAGTGTTTTGTTTCTTTCATATTTGTGATTATGATTTTCTTATGCTTATTTAATTTTTAGTGTGTTTTTTCGTTGATTATTTATATTAATTACTGCTTCATATTTGTTTTTGGTTTTAATTTTTTAGTTTGATTGCCCACATATTTACTACTGTGCCTTTCTCCATATTTTCATAGGGTGTAGAGGGGAGGGAGTTCTAGAGTAAGTAATTTAGGGGAATGATAACTTAGACATTTTGTTAAGCTGATTGTATTATTACTCTTGCAAAACGTAGTAAAAACACGTTTTATAGTAGTATAAAGACTAGGTATATCATTTATTATATATTTATTATTATATTACATTTATTTCATTTATTTACTGTATTTTATTTTATAAAGTTGTGTACTGCAATCACAACTTTTACATTTTGAAATAATCCAGGCTAATACTATAAAAAAAACATACTCAAAAAGTAATAACTACATTTTATTAAAATATCAAAAACAAAAATCAGTACAGATAAATAATACTATATAATGACTGTGCCTATTTATTGTATTATTGTATTGCATTGTGTTATGGCCTCCTTGAAGTACATTAATATCAAATCTGGCATTTCATGGCAAATGTTTTAGATACCCCTGCTCTAGAGAGAGGATAACTGTAAACATTCCTACAAGGTTTTAAGAGAGTAAAGTGAAGAAGCTGGTTCACATTACATTTTTCAATATGCATTATACAGTAAGTACAGAAAGTTTAGTCTTTTGATGAGATCAGACCAGTCTTATCTCATGGTGAGACCAGTCTTGCAGACTTGCATTAATAAACTTTCCCCAATTTTGAGTTGACATCTTATTTGCTATAATTACACTCTTTAAGGGTGGTTCCTTAGTTCCTATAAACCAGGGGTGGGGAACGTCCGGAAATCATTTGGTCTGGCCCTGCCAAGGCAACCGCAAGCGTAGAGCCTGGCAATAATTCAATAACGATAATTATCGCAATATAATTTTCCTCGATATAATTTTAACAAAAGTTTGATAAATGTTCATGCTTTACACATGATAAGCGTAAATTGTGAATAAAACTTTCCATTGCTCTTTATCTGTTGTTGACTCTGAGGAATTCTTGTATGATTTTCATTTCCCACTATTAATGTATTTCTGTAGCTGGGGTCCGCTGATTTGCTCTATCATAAATGTTTCAGCATACTAGCTGCACGCAGTGTAGATATACAGTACCTAGGCAATGAAATACAACTTCTAGCATTGCATTGTTTGACACAAAAGGTGATGTGAGTGCAGATATGATGTAGATGTGATTGGAGTTCTTAAAATAAGGATTTAAAAGGTGATTACATTTATGAATTAAATTCTCAATCAACGTGTTAGTGTTGGTAAGATACTGAACTTTCAGTGCATTCGACTCAACTAACGCTCAATTACTATTTGCAAGATCAAAATTCCTTTCTTTTAAAACAAATATAAACTCCATTTGAACTAGATTTGCTCATTTACCATCCAGGATAATTAACAGAAGTAATATAATGGCAGCAATATATTGGTGTCATTATGGGTGGTCTGATGGCAAGTAATGAAAACTAACATTTAAAGTAAGGGAAAACTCCATAGGACTTTCTCTCTCTCTTGCCTATTCAAAATTATTTTCTGTTAAATTCTGCATACTTTAAATTATAGTTTTGATTGCATTTTCTTTTCTAGCATATTTGCATTCTTAACTTAGGCCATGTGGAGAAGATGCAGTATCTTGAGTGGGTGGGAGTGGTCAAATTTTCTAACTGCTTTATCAAATATAGGGTCATGGAGGAACTGGAACCTATCCCAGCAAGCAAAAGGCACAAGACAGGATCTGCCTTGGACAGGATGCAAGTCCACCACAGGGCCCATACACAGACACAAACATGCACACATTCAAGATGAGGCACAATTTTTTCTACCTATCCATATGGCTTTAGAGTGTGGGAGGAAACCGGTGCAACTAGAGGAAACCCATGTGAACATGGAGTAAACATCCAAAATTCCAGTAAGATAACATCCTAGGAATTGAGCCCTGGGACCCAGCACTGCAAGCCTGCAGTATTAACCTATGTGCCTTTGTGCTGCCCTCATTATAATATCTTTTTTTAAATGTTTAGCCATTTGTTTATGCTGTAATATCTTCTTTCCAAATACACAAATAATTCATGTTGAAAGAGAAGTACCTGTGTCAATGATTTCTGGATTTGAATTAAACCATGTCGGAAGAACTAGACCACTAAAGGTTGAAAATCCCAGGATCAGAAGATTTCTTGAAGAATTCAAGTCCACGTACTAAAAAGAACATAGAAAAAATAAAGTTACATGTGTAATTAAACTGATAGCTTTCTATACACTACAGTACACTCCCTGCTCTCCTAGAGCTGAAAATATCAGTGCATATTATTTATGAATATTCCGTTGCTGATATTTTAAACAAGAAGGAAATTATAAATAATTAAACAGTAACAAATTAGGAATATTAATAAAATTAATTCCAATTACTTACAATATTTTGTTTGGCGAATCATAGCTAAAAACTCTTTGGGGCAGCATACATTTAAACATTTTTGAAAATGTGTTATTGCAAATTTGTAGACTGCAGAGGCCATTGTCAAAACATTCTTTGTCATTTTATCACAGCTATTGTTGTTACCAGGCCCAGTGTTTCTCTGGGAAACTGGGAGCATTCTCACAGGGTCTCATGGTTTTCCATGCGCTCTACACCGTGGCCAGATCCCCTTTCAGGCCTGTCCTCTGTTAATCAGAGACCTAATTATTCCATTAAGACTTTCCCTATTTAATCCAGGAGTGCCTGTGAAGCAGAACTCCATGATTGTGTTATTTAGCAGCACTTTCACCCAGAGCGGTCTCATCTCTCTTGGAACCCCAGCTCCTCTTCTGAACGGCCTCACTCAACCTTGAGGAGGTTCATTTGTCCAAAATCTCAACACTCACCTCAGACTGCCTCTGCGTAGCTGCTGAATTGGCTTGTTCTGAGAGCAGTCTGACCCTGCCTGGAACCCCGGCATTCTCTCCAAGCAGTCTCACTCTCACCACTGTTTGGCTTCTGTTCAGAGCAGCTTCACCTGCCTGAGCCCAGCCAACGCTATTTAGCTTTCACCCAGAGCATCATGTCTGTCTGGAATCCCAAGGCTCAACTTTGACTGTCTGAACTCAGCCGCTGTTATTTGGCTTCAATCCAGAGCAGGGTGTCCTTCTGGATTCCCAGCACTCAGTTCGGAATACCTGAACAGCCACATCTGCCTGGAATTCCAACATTAATCTCTAACATCCTCAGCCCAACCAACTGTTGGCCTGCACTCCAAAAAGTCAAATCCTGATTGGAACACCAGCGCTCTCTCGGATCTGCCTCATACTTGCAGCTATTAGGACAACATTATTTGCCCAGAATCCACATTATTATTCCTGGGCAGCATTGTTTGCCCAGAATTTCAGTGCTCACCTCAGACTGGCCACTATTCAACCTCTACTTTCATCCACTTTATTCCTCAGCCACCTCATAGCTTTATTGTTCCTGGGTTCCAGTTCTCTTGGGCTACACCTGGAAACTCTGCCCATGGCTATGCTGGCTAGGGCTTCTCCAAGCTGCTGAGTGTGAACCTTTTCGCTCCCAGACTCCAGTAGATGACTCCCTCAGTCTGACAGTGCACACTGACCTGGTCTCTGGACTAGACCTACCAATGAGTGTGTGCCTCCATCAGCCCAGCAAAAGATGCACCTTGAGGATGATCACCCCGACTGGGAGTATGTCACCCAGCTTCAGAACCAGACTCCTCAGTCATGTTTAGCTCATTGGAATGATGTGCATCTTCAGATCTGGATGGCTCACCCCTTTTACAGCTGCCTTTCCCTCGGAGCACTGCATCTGTGGACTCATCCCTCAGCCTGGTCTCAAGCGCATGTGCAGTAAATCTGCTCAGTCCGGTTCAAGGCACACATTTGAAATATCGTCCCAATGTTGAGCACCTGGTCCTTCAGTTCCAAAACAGGCTTCCAATCTTTGTACTGGCCCAATGTGGTTTCCAAAGTGCCGATGTACAGATACTCATTTCCTCAATTATTCACTTACTCAATCACTCACTAATCACTTTCCCTAAGATGTTCTGGAATACTCGATTCCCTCTCTGTCGGGCCTTTTAAGGAACTCTCTGATCCTTTACACTTTTCGGACTAAGCACTGCCCCGGTTGCACACTTGGCATAACACAATGTATAATATAAACATAATACTATTGCAGGCTTTACTTGTCAACCTTAGATATTATAACATTATGAAATCTTTAATAGTTTGTATAAACCATCTAGCCTTCAAAAACCATGTATATTTGTCTTATGTTTTTGAAATGTAGCCACGATAACAATGAATGACTTGAAGTCTGAATCTCTGATATACAATAATCAAACTGCTCTCTTCCAATAAAAAAGTGTTTTTTTGACGTAATGCAACTATAACCATTCAATTAACTTTACAAGTGTTTCACTGTGTTAGCCAGCAGTGATACAGATAAATGTCATATATGTCATATTTTTAAGGGTTTTGTAATCCCATACTAAAATCAAAATAAATTGTAATCACTATTCTTTAGCTATTACACTACTTAACTGGCTTCATGCTTGTTATTGCTTAAGAATGTAAAACAGACATTATTTTTGTTTTGCTCATTGTATGTTTGTAGCGGCGAGACTTATTAATAAGGCAGAATTAAGTGTTTCTGAGCTTTCCCAAATTAGGTCTCATCTCTCTGTTCATCTTTGTGGTGCAGCCACAGAGAAACTATTCATGCAGGCTGATTTAAGGTTTCCTTTGATAAGGTTTCCTAGGACAGCTCCCAAAGGGTGATGCACTTAGGTAAGCCTGGTTATCATGATCAATGGTTATCCATTGGCGCCTATCTGTCTAGGGAGTGCCAGATGGACATCTGGACTGCATTCCTAAGCGTCAGGAGTAAGTGACTCATATCTCACCTTGATCAACCAATCAGGGACCGGTAGGGCCGAGTAACCCACGTGGGACTCTGATGCCCATGGAATTTTCAGCCAATCAACGAGCTGAAGTTCCTCCAGGTAAAAACAGGCAACACAGAGAGCCTGAGAGATTCGAAATTCAAGATTCAGTGAGATTCAGGACTTTGTGGACTTTTCTAAAGGGAATTCAAAGGAGAATTCCAGGGCAGGACGGCCCAGGAGCAGAAGGCTCTCAAGGGCAGGACATTCTCGCAGCGCGCCTCCTGACCATCCTGAGACTCAGCCCGGACAACCATGGAATGGCCAGTGTGTACGAGTGCCAGAACTTTCCTTTGTTCTAAGAGTCGAGAGCGGAGGTTATCAGAGAGTAACCAGAAGATCCACCCGAGATTAGCACCAGCAGCAAGCCTCGTGAACAGGTCAGAACTGTGGACAGCTGAATCACTATTCAGAACTAGCTCATCATCAGGAACGAACCGGTCCTCTTCCTGACTTGCTGGGACCCACAGTCATCTTTTCTCCTGTGCACAAACTGTGCTAGTTAAAGCCAACACTAACTAGCCAGTCAGTGAGCATCAGCAGCGCACCGTCGCAAGCCGCACAGCACAGCCTGGCACCAAGCCAGAGAGCGCGGATTGGACAGCAACAGCCTGCAACTGTTTCTTTGTGCCCGCAGGAGATCTGAATCCCCAGAGATTGGATGAGTATTCAACTTCAATGCATTACAGCTCGAGAATTCAATTGTTATCCCAACCAGTTGATATCAATTTCATTCTTAAGAATTATGTACTTGTTTTGAGTATCTAATGTAGAAGTTATAACCAAGTTCATTTACGAAACGGTCTTAATGAATGATATACTGAACATATGTCCTCTTGATATATGTAACTCTTTGTAACTGACTGAATATATATCTTTTGTATTCTGATAACCCTCTCGATAAGATCTGTTAGGTTTATATGCATATTCTATGTATTAATAAATGTATCCTCGTGTATTAGTAGCTGTGTGTGTGCGTTGTTTGAGTTATGTCGCATGGTTGGATTCTAAAGCCATCAAAAGAATCAATTTGTGATTAACGGCTACAATTAATAATTGTCCCAGTAAATGCCCAAACCCTACAGAACTGGTGCCTTCAGAGAGCACACTACATTACATTTCGGCTATGGCAACGTTACATGTTCTACACTTCTATTTGTAAGGTCAATTAATAATTGCAAGGATGAGAGTAACACCATTTAACAGTCTGGTAACAGTTGTGTTTTAGCTTCTAAGCAGGGAAACATTAAAGTAATTAAATGAAAAGGTCATATGGGGAATCTTCTCTGCCTTTTGGCTAGAGGAACCTTTTCAGTGTCAAACTGTGTGTTATACTGCTACTATTTGCTAGTCAGTCTTATGATCTAGTCCATATCACAAGAGAACGTAGGTAGCCTGCAGTGATGTTTCTAAAGAGAGTAGTATGACAATGTCTTTCCTGATGAATGAAACCAAATGCAACCAAATATGAAATACAATAAAATTTGACATCTGGTGACACTATCAATGACTCATTGTGACTCATGTTGTCCAAACCACAACTAAACAATTTAGCAATGTCAGTTATAACATTCATCATCTCAACCACCCAGGCAAAAAAAAAAAAAATTGTCTAGGCTGTATCCTAACAAAATACCATTTTAAGAATGACACAGTAGTCAGGAATTGGCATAAAACGTAGTTATAATGTGAAACCAAATATTTGCCTTGAGCATTTTGCGTTTGTGCAGTTTTATGTTTTTTTCTTTCATTTCTGACCATAGCAGTCATTGTTTTTTAGGGGTACTTGCCAGAATTTGCCATGGGAAAGTATTTTGTCTGCTACTTTCTACATTATTGCAGTTACTTTTGTCCTTTGGAAAGTTAGATGGATGCAGCAGTCCCAGCTTTTCTTCTACTCTGTCTTTTGCATTATATAATAATGTATAAAACAAATGTGCATGGTAGAGTGTAGAAGAATGCATATCAGAGCTGATTCAGTTTTTACCCCTAGTTATGTTTAAGTACAAGAAGTGCAGGCTTAATGTAATAAAATTAAATAATACCTCCTTTTAATATTTGACTATTTGACTCTCAAAAGAAATTAGTAATTAGTAATTACAATTAGTAATTGTCAATCACCCCCCATCTTGCTGCTAAGCTCCTTGTATCAATCAGAACTCCAGGGATACAAATTTTGCAGACTTTCCCCCTAAAAAGAGATTTGGCAAGTCATTCACTGTTTCTCAAACTGTGGACTTCACAAAGTCCATAGACAAGTTAATACTGAATAGAGGTCAGGCTCAGCTCTTAGGGCTATCAAACCACCAGCTCACAGGTAGAGAAGCATTCACTTACTAATTCCAATTTACCCAATTCTGTCAGTGTCTTGTATTGATAAAGTCAAGGTACAGATCAGGTGGGTTGTCTGCATTCTTGTACTTAACCTGTGTTTCAAGAACGCACCTTTATTGTTTGAGCTCACATCTATTCAAATGAAATGTAAAGCTATTTATTTAAGTTTCTTATCATTCATATTTATAAATACAGTATACTGTATATATACGTACACAATTATATTAATATTATAATAATTATATGTATAAGTACACAAATGTAAGAACAAACATTGAACAGTTTATGAAAGAGCCTATTCCACAAAAAGTAGTATGTGATATTTTGTAATTGTCATATTTCCCATGACTCCCTGTTTTCTTGTAATGTAAGAGCTGGTGGAATAGGTTACATGTATATTAAAACTATGCATTCTCGTTAGGATAACATAAAAATAGCAGTAATCATGGAATTTATTACAGTTTGAACATATTGTTTTCTGTTCTCAAAATACCATAACTCACGTATCTCATTTTTATTATTTTTTAATTGCTCATTATCAGTGTTCCTCATTTTTGGTGTTTATTGTTTGGTGTTATGTTATTTTTTAACATTCATGTTGTCTTTATACTCCACATACATCTCTATTTTGCTGATGAAAATCTAGTCATCCATTTCCTAACTGCTTTATCCAATGCAGAGTCATTGGGGAGCTGGAGCCTATTGCAGGGCACATATAGCCGCAAACATGCGCACACTCACACTAAGGCAATTTTGTTTCTTGTAGACAATTTACCTACAGAACCAGTATGTTTTTGGACTGTGGGAGGAAACCCACTTGACCACAGGAAGAACATACTGTACCAGCCCCAGATACCAGATAGCACCCCAGTAATCAATCCCAGGATCCCAGATACATCGTAATACATCTTTCACACACTGGAGGGAAAATAATGAATTGCTTCATTGCCCCTTACCTGAAGGTTAGAGATCCCCACCGCTGCAATCATTCCAAACATAACCAGAAACATTCCTCCTATGACTGGATTTGGAATGGTAATAAATATAGCACCAAACTTTCCAAAGAGTCCCAGCAGAATCATTAAAACACCTGCTGACTGAAGGACCATTCTACTGCCAACCTGACAGAAAAGTAGAGGAGGAAGAGATTTGATTTCTGAAAATTAATAATTTTCTTAATACCATGTCTTGCAAAAATTCTCATATCATCAATATTATCACATATAGCAAATCTTTATGTTTGTTAAATATAGTTTATAACACTCATTCACACAACCAATATGACAACATTAAATAGCATTATATATATATATTTATATCGATTAATTTTATTCATAGCCTTGTAACCTTGCTCAGTTGGAATTTGGAATTTGGACAATTCCAAACGTTAAGGTTATGGAGTGGCCTGGTGTATGAAAATGTTTTCCTTGTATTTTGTGAAGTTCCACGAAGTGGGATCTGTTCTGTATGAGTCCGAGTCATTCATTTTATCAGCGTAATTAAATATTCATTGATATCTTTATAATATATTATAAATTTCAGACAATTTTAAATGTACACTCTATGAAAATACACATATGCACAAGAGTCAAAAGTGCGTAAAGCTTAAGTAAGTAATGTACTCGACAAAAAAAATAAAGTTTATTTCCTTTTACACTCGTTTACAAATTGATGGCAAAACTATGATCTAGTAAGTTGAATAGTCAAACTAATGTTGTTGTACATACTGTATTCAAGATTTCTTGAATTGATAAGATATGGCTGCAGGTGCCGCAGAAATTAATGCAGTTAACTTGTTACCACATGTGTACTTGGCCTTTCACAAGGAAATTAGACATTAAATGATGCAAATGATTGAAAAAATTTGAAAGTGTCTTCTACGAACACGCAACTGAACCATTTCTGTCTCTGTCACTATAAAGCCATTGAAATAAAACACCAACACATAGCTGCACAAATGTCCTACACAAAGGTCATTTTTAACTTCAGGAAACTCTCCAGGAAACTGTTTCTCTTGGATCTCTGTTATTCATAAAGTTCATGGGAGAACAGGAGTGGCATATCTGGGAGCTTGTAGTTAGGATAAATTCCAATTCAAAGTGTATAATTATGCATCTGACATGTCTAAACTCTCCTTCAAAGTGATAAATTTCCTACTGCAATGTGACTGCCACATTCCACCCAGAGGTGCTTGTATTTAGAAGCACAATTCCTGGCTCAGCAGCTACTGTACAGTAAACTTCATTGTTAGGACAGGTGAAACATAAGTGATTATTGTGTTTTAGTTAGAACAAGAGCCAGTATTTTTCATCAGCATTTTTGTCATAAAGCAACTCATCTAGCTGTAGACAACATTTTATATAGTAACGAATATTAGTCTCTGTACAAATTATTCCATATGCATCAAATATTACTCTGTCTGCATTTAATCATCATCAAGATCATCATCAGCAGCAACATCATCATTATCATATTTAACTCAATTTAAATTTAAACACCATTTAAAAGGGAACTGCAGTTTCAATTTTTCAGACAGGTTATAAAATCTCGGTAATAAAATAAATGAATTGAAGGAAACACAAATTTTACACATACCAAACTAAGCACAAAATCTTGAACTTTGTGAAAGTACTGTACGGACACCATGTTGTTGCAAACTGCTGGTCTTGCCATTGGCGAGAGCAAAAGTTGGTGAGAATTGTGATGTTCCCTGCTCAGAGTAGTGCCTAATGTAATGTGATATACTGTATGAATGAATTGTGTTTTGAAATGCACTCATCAATGCCGATTCTTTCTTCTCCTGTAATATAAAAATTAAGTTGCACTTCCCCTTTAAGGTACTTTACAATAAAGCTAATGTTACAGGTTATTGAGGGTCATCTAGCTGCTGTCAACATTTGCAGTTCTGGGTTTTAAAGGAAGTAGAAACAATGAATGGAGGCGGAGGTGTTTGCTGAGCTGTTGGGGGTCTGAGATAAATTTATTGAAAGGATTCATCTAGTTAACCTTAGTTAATAAATTTTTTGGTAAATCACAGGAGAAACACACGATAAAAGACAGGTAGGCGGAAACTGTCAAAGGAACACACACACAGAGAAGATAGGAACAGGGAGAGGAACAGAAGTTTTGTATTTCGTTGGACAGGAAGTAGGCCTTTGAGATTATTGTACTGTAAGTAGCATTATGTTATGTGCATGTAATATTGTGTGCCATCTAGTTATTGTTATTGTTAATAAATATTAATTTATTCCAGTTTGCCTTATTTATTACTTTTTAGAGCTGTGACAGAGAATTGTAAAGAAATTTTTATTTAATTAACCTATTACATTTATTATAATTATTTATTTTAATGATTGATAATTATTGAATATCCCAATCAATATTCTTTATTATGGTGTATTATGCTACACGAAGAGAATACTATAGAGACAGGTGTACATAAATCGTTATAGTAGATTAAAAGATAGTATGTAAAAGAGAATAGTGATATAAGATTTTAAAAGTGCTGACTGAATAGCAAGATCTAATATGTGCTGAGGAACAGAACAGAAAACCCAGTGTCCCAAGATTCAGAGCCTCATTTGGAGAGTTAAAAGACTGTCAGCAATCAGAGTGCAAATGGCATATAGATTTACAGAGTTAAGAGTTCCCTAAAATAGTCAGAACACAAACCATTCAAGCCCTTCAAGTCAGTAGCAGGATTTTGAATATTATTTGAAGATATATTCTCATAAATTTTAATTTTAGTTAAGATCTGAGCTGTTGAGTTTTGAACATGCTGCAACTTGTTAAAAATATGTCTCAATACACAAGAAAACACTACACTTCAACACTCAAATATGCTGACTGATTCTGAAAAAGAGAATCTGGAAAAGAGAAACACATGCATTAGTTTTTATGCAATGCTGCAGATGAGAAAAGACACCCTTTAGCATGGCTAACGTGAGCTTTAAATGCAATGCTCTCATCAAATTGTATCAAAATGCCTGAATTGAACTGATTTCAAGACCGTCAATTATACAGCACAAAGAATGCAGTATAGCCAAACGTCTATGTGCATGGTTGGTATCTTTGTAAATTTGGTAAATTTGTTACATCCGCTTTTTTAACTACTGTATCTAAGCATTGTGACAAGGAAAATAGTGCTTGATCAATAATGGACATCATGCAAACATAAAATGTGTTTCATTAGCATAGAAATCAAAGCCAATAACAATCTTATGAATCTTACTCAAGAATATTTTTCCTTCCTGCCATAGTTAAGAATACATACAAGAGGACAGTTTCTAAATCAAAGTTACTGACAGCACCCTTGGCTACATTCTCATCTACTGCTGGAATGGATGACTGACTTGGGACACTAACCATCTGTTACAGGATCAAGTCCCTGTCCTTGCAACTTACAGTACAAGTTTTGAACTGCAGTGAGTTCCTGACCTGTGTACCTCTTGACTGCACCTAGAATGGCCTCTGATTTAAACATTACACATCTGACACACTCTGGCTGTTTGCTCCTTTTCTTTGTCCTGAGCTGGGACTTTGGAGACTCAAAGAGCAACAAGTTATTTTATAACTCTTAAATCCTGGCATGTGCCCATTTGTGTGTGCCCTGCGATTGAGTGGTGCCCTGCCCAGGGTGTATTCTGCCTTGTGCCCATTGCTTGTCGACATAGATCCAACTAAAAATTGTAAGAATTGGTTTTGTCACTGCCATTGAAATGTTAGAATAAAAAGTTTAAGAAAAACTTTTCTTAAAAGCAGGTGCTTGATATAAGGCTGATGTTAGTGATCCAGAACCACCAAGCCAGACAACTGGTAGGAAGTGGGGATTGTCTTCTTCTTGAAAATTCATTATGAACTAAATTTCAGTGGATACACACCGACCTAAGAAACTCAGCTATAAAAATAGACTTTATCGATTTTTTTTTGTTTAAACCTAATTTGTTTGAGGAATGTCCCTTATCCATTGGCATATGAATGAAGAAGTCAGGAAAGAAAACACAGGCCAAGCATATACCCATGTAGAAGAATTATTATAGTTGCAATGCAAATGTCAATTGAAATGGGATAAAATGGTCAATAGTTCTGGTGGTTTGTATATGATATACAAACAAAATATAAATATGATAAGACATATGTGGCCAAGAGGACAAAAATCAAGAGTAGGCTAATGTATACCTTCAAAATTAAATCATTTTATAGCAGCTAGCTGTAAAATATATAACATTTGCCATAAGCCATATGGTTTGAGGTATGATGCCTGGTGGTATGTAAAAGGAAGTTGAAACCCCCCAAATCTTTCCAAACTGATACTCCACATCAGCAAATGCATAAATAAAGATAACAATCACATTAAAAATGGAATTTGGCATTAGAACCTGAAAGTTAAAATAAATAGCCTTTAGCTGCTGAATAAGATAAGTATTTACATTAACCCAAAAACAGTGGGGGCAAAATAACAACACACTGTAATTAACTACTGTTCATAATCATAACTTTTTTTATAACTTGCTTATTTAATCATCCAATCCTGGCTATATTGATGATGTTGTGCGAACCACAGTGAGTGAAATATGTGTGTCCTTGCACATGTAATAAACTACTAAGGTTAAAATAAGCAACTTTAAGATCTTTAAAACCTGTTTCCATGTGACAATGATAGCCCTCTGAAGTCCGTGTTGCCCTGGAATTTCCTCTAGGGCCACTGTACATTTTTCATTTTGAGGAGTTTCCAATGAGCCTTCAAAGTGGCAGCACTTATAAGAAAGGAGTAATTAGAAAATTCCTCTGCCAAGAAGCCAGATTTCAACAGTACCTGAGGTGGTCCTCAGGTACTGTAAAAGGTTAAATTCAACTATGTTGTATATATCTATGACTGATCAGAGAAAGAATGTAGGAGGTATGTGAGACCCAGATAGACAGCAGCTCAAGCATTCCTGGCTGTCAATAATTGGCCAGAGAAGGTCTAAGGGGTCAGGCCAGTGAAGCTGGAAGTTTACAGTGAAAGTTAAGGCGGAGATCACACCCTAATCTAGCTCCACTTCCACCTGAGTATAAATATAACCCTTGCTATAGTAATTCTCTTAAGAGCATTATGTCCAGTACTCTCCACTTCACTGGTTGGCTTGGAAATATCACTAATGCTTTGACTGAACCTTTTAAATTCCCTTTTTTTCATCTGACTAAATAATAGAATCATAGATACGAGCAATCAATTTAGTCAGAGAAATGTATTATCATTATGTGACATAAAGTTGTTACTGTGCAACAGTAAGGAATTCATTGGGTAAAACATAAAAAGGAATAATGTTATGTGCCAAGGATTTATGAGCCTGAGGTTCTAAACATTCTATCTTCTTTTTTACCATTAGTGATAAGACAATTTTCACTTCAAAATGTACAAATTGGAGTTATTACAATAATGGTTCAAACAAAGTGTTCTGTAATGTTTTTTTTAGTGGTTTGGTGATTAACATTTAGTTATCTATAAAAGTAGATTAACTTTTATTAAATGCACATTTGTTTTCAGCCAGCATCAATAACTAATCTTAAGTAAACATATGTTCTCAGAGAACAAGCAGGGCTGCTCAGAGGAAGTCCTCACATACATATTTGGATACTGAACATTTTTTAAAATGTCACAGATTATTATGACCTAGTTATAATTTATTTTATTTCTTCAGTGGTTGTACTGTATGATCAGTTTGTAGTGTATGCATTGAGGACCCAGCAGATATGGAATTAAATATAAATTATTGGTATGATAACCTATCAATATTCATTTATCAGTTTATTTAAATAGAATAAAAGTACAAAATACAATTTTATTTATGAGCACTATTCAAGACGTGCAAATCTTTGTGCAGTTGCTCATGGGTAATATGTATAACAGATGTTCAAAGAAAGAGAAAAAGGCATACACATACTGTAGCTAACTGGCTTATATACAGTATGTCTGTAAGAGAGATTTCCCAGTTTCACAGTCTCTTAGAGGTTTAACAGTGAGTTCTACAGATGTGCTGCACAAAACACGACTCTATTACCCAACATGTGGATCGTGTTCTTGACAGAGTAAAAGACCTGAATCAGCAGATATCAGATATGCTGTATTAAAAATCAGACAGTACTCATACAATAGGTACTTAGGATGAGCTGCAGCTAGACCATTCAGTGATGCAATAAGGAGGACCTCAGATTTTACTATAAATATCACAGGAGCCAGGTACAGTTTAAAGAGGACAGTGGTCATGTACTGATGTAGAAGATGGCTGGAGTACTTCAAAAATCTGTTAAATGTAGAAAATGAGAGGGAGAACCTAATGGAGACAGATGTGTGGACCAATCCAAGAAATTTCAGTAAAGAGATGAAAGTGGGCAAAGCAACTGGACCATCAGGAATAGCAGCAGAACACTTTAAGAACCTCGATGAAAAGGGGATTCAGTGGCTGACGAAATTGCTAAACAATATTGCAAAGGAAGAGAGAATTCCAGAAGAATGGACAAAAAGCAGTATGGTTACCATCTACAAGGAGAAAGGAGACCCAATGGAGTGTAAAAACTATAGAGGAATAAACCTTCTGGAGCATGGATTGAAAATCCTGGAAAAAATTCTGGACAAGAGACTCAGGAAGATAGTCAGGATCCACAACTCACAATTTGGATTCTCAGCAGGGAAAAGCACAACAGATGTCATTTTTGTGATGAGACAGTTACAGGAGAAGACACTAGAGAAAGGGAAAAAGCTGTATGTGGCCTTTCTGGACTTGGAGAAGGCATATGACCATGTGCCCAGAGAGGTGGTGTATTGGTGCTTGAGGAAGAAAGGAGTACCAGAAAGCATGGTGAAGTTAGTTCAAGCAACCTATAGAGATGCAACTACGAAGGTGGGCACACAACGGGGAGAAACAAAAGAGTTTGAAATCACAGTTGGAGTACACCAAGGATCAGCACTAAGTCCTTTCCTTTTTATAAACATTATTTACACACTGACAGAGGAGGTAAGAACAGAAGTGCCTTGGGAACTCATCTTTGCTGATGATGTGGCACTGATGGCAGATTCAGAAGTAGAACTACAGGAGAAAGTGTTCAAATGGCAGAGGAGTCTGGACAAGGGTGGACTGAAAATGAATGCAGAAAAATCTGAAATAATGGTAATGGAGAGAAGAGGAGATACTATGACCAATGTTGAGGAGACAAATGGAGGAAAACTGAAACAGGTTGATGGCTTTAAATACCTTGGATCAAAACTGGTAAAGGGAGGAGAAACACTGGAGGCAGTAAAACAAAGAGTGAAAGCTGGATGGAACAAGTGGAGAGAAATAACTGGAATAATCTGTGACAGGAAAATTCCTAGAAAGTTAAAATGCAAATGTACAAGGCTGTGATTAGACTTGTACTACTATATGGAGCTGAATGCTTGGCAGTTGGAAAGAGGGAAGAAAACTTGATGAGAAGAACTGAAATGAGGATGTTGAGATGGATTCTGCAGATTTCAATGAAGGATAAGATCAGAAATGAAGAAATCCGTAGACGATGTAGGGTGGTGGATGTAGTTGAGAAGATGCGAGAGGCGAGGTTATGGTAGTATGGGCATATCATGAGGAGGGACGTTGAGGAAGTAACAAAGAGGGTAATGGAATTTGAGGTGGAAGGTAACAGGGGAAGAGGAAGGCCTAGAAAGATGGATAGATTGTGTGAGAAAAGATATGGAGGTATGTGAAGTGAGTGAGGAAGATGTGCTCGACAGAGACAAGTGGAGAAAAGTAACCAAAGCAGCTGACCCCAGGACAGTCTGGAACTAAGGCTGTGAAAAAAGAAGAAGAAGTAGCCTATTTACTTATTTTTTTTTATTTTAACAGTGAAATAAATTTTTAGTTATTATTCTTTTCAATTTATTTCTTGAAATAATGCACATATGAACCATGGAATGTTAACCACATGGAAGAAAGTTACCCTTGTGATGTTCTTAATATTTGTTTCAGTAAGGTCAAAAGTAACACTAAGTATTCTAACTTCCATTACAAGAACATTGAAGTCACCAATATTGAAATATAAGAAATATATAAGAATATAAGAAATAGTGGGAGCTTATGAACATCCATAACTTTTAGGACAACATCACATTTATCAGTGATCTCATGATGGCTTTCCATGTGCTCCAGTATGATACCTATTGACAGTGTAAAAAGCTGCATTTAAATCAATAAGGAGAAGAATATTGATTGACTGTAACAAGGTACAGTACAGGTAGGGAGTATGGATCCTGTGCAGGACTCAGTAGAGAGAGAGAATACCAATCCAAATCGCTAGGCAAAACGTTATCCAGGAAACAAGCAAGTAGGTCAGATAACGGTAGAGACTACTAAAGAGCCATAATATGAAACGCAAGGCTAAATCGTAAATGAGGGGCAAGCTAGAAGGTCAGATACCAAATAGAAAGTAGAAGCAAATAACACGCACTTGGGAGCTCGAAGAGAATACATAATAGTGAGCGGAGAAGTGAGGAAAGAGAGGAACTGAAATAGTGACAGCAGTGAATGGTGATACGTAGGTACATTACTTGCGGTGTGAGCGTTTGTTAAACACAGTGTGCATGGAAATGTGAGAAGGGTCAGAGACGCGTGTGGAATGGGTAACATTGACTTAGAGTCAGAAATAGCAGATCATTCATTGCCCTGTAAGTCTTGTTTCAATACTGTGTCTCTATCAAATTCAAAAATCAAAGATTTTCCTCATGTCTGGCTCCATGTCTGTCAATGGCAATTTGAGTGATTTGCACAGAGGTTGGTGAATGAGATCAGTTTTGTGGAGTGCAGGTGCGAGGGTTCACAGTGCTGGTTCAATATCTTGTTGAAGTTCTTCTTGACGTTTCAACAAGAAGAAAAACTTCATGTTGAAAAAAATGTAACTATTCAGTGCTCTGAGGACATCTGAGCAACCAGTGCAAGGTATTACATATAATGAATCTAATGGCTATTTATATTATATAATGGAGTCTCTATGCCCAATGATAAACAATTAAAAAGAACTTAGCAGAATTCTTAAAACTAGTTCCCTTTTGTTTAATCCTTTTTCAATAGGTTCTCTTGTGATTCTAAACATTATTACAGGATGTGACATAAAAGTATAGGTAACCATTTATTAATAAAATCCAGAAATCAATCTGGCAACGTACCTTTGTTATTCCAAGGGCAGCAATGTTTTGGCTGTATGACGTGGTTGCATTTCCAGTTCCCCAGATGGCTGCTAAAATACATCCTATCCCTTCAATTGCTATTCCCCGGTTGATAGCGTGAGTGGGTGGTGGGGGAGCCCCTGACAGACGTGCACATGCATAATAATCCCCAATGGACTCAATGGAGGAAGCGAGAACTCCAGCCATCATTCCAAGCACAGAAGCCAGGGTCACAGTGGGAACACCCCATTGACCTGGAGAGAAAAAGTATAGTACTTTTAAAAAGACATTTCATCAATCAATTGAAAATGTTATTGCCAGCTCAGAATCTCTGTCACCATTTTAAGATCCCACAGCTATAATTGAGGATAATATTGTCACCGGGAATCTGGATTTTTTCTATTCTAGTTTACAATGAAAATGTGCACCATTTACACATTCAACACTTATGCATTTAGCATTTCTAATCACAATATTAAACTTAGTATTAATAATAAAGTTATTAATAAGAACAATACTGAGTATTAAAATAACATTAACATTGCTGCAACAAATTCACAATGTTATGTTAAAGAAAATGGAAAAACAAGTTTTTGTAGTAGATATTTGTGTAGGTGTAGTTTGCACTGACTTGTTTGAACAAGCAATAAACTAATTCATCCAATTTATCATGGATAAACAATTCATCCATGGGGGAGCAGAAGCCTATCCCTGCATGAAACAGGCACAATGCAATATACCGTACACCCTGGATGGTGAACCAGTCCTTCACAGGGCACACACTCACACCAGGGGCAATTTTCCCAGAAACCAATTAAGCTACCAGTGTGTCTTTGGACTATGGGAGGAAACTGGAACACCCAGAGGAAACCCAAGTCAACATGGGGAGAATATACAAACTCCACACAGGTAGCATAAGAAATCTATAATTGAAACAGGGGCCTCAGAGCTTCCCAGCAGTAATGTTTACCACTGTGCCTCTGTGTTGTCAAGACGAAACATAGTACATTCTACAGATCAGCTTTTTGTATTAACCAGGATTATCAACAAGGGGTGTACACTGAAAGACAGAGGTTAATAGCATGTGTGGCGATTAAAGTATATTTCTTTTGATAGTATATAAAATTTAAACAAAAAAGACAAGAAATCTTACTACTGTTAACTAGAGTTCCCTGATCCCCAGTTTGTTTACAACCCAGCAAGTAAAAGAAAGAAAACAGTTATAAGGGAAAATTTGAAAAATAGCTATCTATAATTGTATGGACAGTTTAGGAATTGTCTGCAATTCATGCTTATTAACTGAGCTATGTGGGTAGAGAACTGCTCTGAAACGTGCCAGCAACCAACTGCAAAAATGCACTTTTCCACTCTGCTGTTACATTCTTCAGTATGCATAGTACCTCAGCCATACAGAAGAGTGAGAATATCATGCTTTGTGGAGCAGTTAAAGAATTTAGGAACATGGATATTTCCCAGTTTTGAGAAGTACTGTATGGTGCCAGGATTTTCAGATATGGCGGAAGTTGCCACAGGATTCTTAAAGTAGCAGTCAAGAGAATGGAGTTATTTTGTTATATAGTTTTTTAATATGCTTACTTTTTTAAAGAGCATGGTATTTTAATATACAGTATTAACACATTTCCATATTCGCTGCAGATGCTTAGATGATTGCATTAGCTCTGTGACCACTTCAAGGTTTTTAAATATTTACACCTTAATTATTTATTTTTTGTTAGAACCATCAAATTTGGACAAGTTTTAATTGTGTATTTTTCATTCCTCAGCTCGCAGCTACCATCCACGGGACCACACACAGGGACGAATGAGGAAATGTAAGACGACTCTTCTATCAATCCCACATTCAAGGCGTTCCAATTATTTAATGTTTGACATTTATGTCAAGATCATTATGCTCTACTGCAAATAGGATAACATATCTTCATCTTTTTTAAAGATTTAACTATAAAAATTATATTCAGTTCTTAGTATACACTGATAAATTCACTGACCCCCCCCCCTCCCAGATATCTTCAGATTCTTTCCATTATCTACTGAAAAATGTTAACTAATTTTTAATTAATTCATTAATTTAGTATCTAAATATTAAATAGGAATGACAAACAAATAAATCACCAAGCCTAGGAAATTATATTAAGCAAATTAACCTTATTAAAATACCAATAATGCGGTGAATAAAAATTACTCAAATCAGTGGTTGTAGGGAGGGTAAGTGTGGTGAACTCGCACCATGTGTTTAATTTTAAATCAGTTAAAGCTGTCTGCATCGTCAGCCTTTGCTGGATCTATACGCAGAGAGAGGGGTTAGATGAGACTATTGACATTTGGAATGAAAGGGGAATTCCCAGCAAGATTTCATCTGGGCAAATACCATTAACAGGGGAAAACAATTCACCTTATTGCAACTTGTCAGGGAAACTATTTAATAGGTTTGAGACTCCTTGCAACAGATGTGTGAAACCAGAAAAAAAAGCATATTACAAAAGTGATGAAATAGTTATTTGTCTCATCTAGCTTTATATGTTGCCAGCAGCTGAATTATCAAATAATCTCATCCAGTCGTCTATTAACTGGAAGCAGACAATGTAACGATCAGTACTTTCCGGACCCTATGTGGACGACACAATCCAAAGAAGTGGGGAAACACTGGGAAAACGTCATGCAGGAATACGGGGCTGAAAACAGGGGGGCGTGTCCAAAGTGTGCTGGTGCACGGGGGAGGTGTGGCCGAGGCAAACAATCCAAAAGCGTAATCCTTAGAGGGTATCCAAAAACACAAGAGTAAGTCCAGCCAGGAGATCCATCAAAACAAGGAATTAAAAACCATGAACCGGGTTGGAACCGGCGGAGTAGGAGCAGGAACAGAGGATAAAACATTAACGGGACCAGGCGCTTCCAGGTCCCGGACTCGCATGGTGCGGAAACCAGATGCAGAGCCAGGATGAGCGTCATCGCCTGGCTTTTAAGGTGGGCTGGGAATAGGGATCAGGTGCACAGAATTAAGTCTAAAGTGATAGGGCTGGAGCACCCTTAAGGAGGGGGGACTATAATCGTGACAGACAAGTACTGTTTTATCAAATTCTTTCCACAGTTCAGGAATTTTAAAATATTATTTAACTGTTAAGACAGATATAATAACTTTACTTACAAAGAATAAATATATATCCTATGTAAATAAAATAAATATTTACCTCATGTCGAGTTCTGAGAATCCCTGATTTATTTATTAAATTGTTTTTATTCAACTGAGCTGTTTCCTTATGGATTATAAAGCCTTATAATTTCAGCATGTGCCATAAAGAACTATATCATATATTAGATATCTGAAAATAAGTTTCTTTCTATTCTGGATTTACGGTTACTGTTCCCTGTGTTCTGCATATGAGTTTATGAAAACTCTGAATCAGCTTCCATATCCTGTCAAAACAGGTTTGATGTGATGATAGTGTTCAGTGGAACTATGATGAAACTTACCTGGATAAGGAACATGAAACCATGGAGCACTTCTAACAGCATCGAGATTGATATCAGTCCGTGCAGTGTAGCCATAGTCACCAAGCTTTGAGGGCAGTGCATCAAAGTATGTCAGTAGAAAACAAATAACCCACGACCCACACATTCCAAACAAAACCTGTATTACAGAAATACAGAAGTACCATCAGAACAAATTAAACAACTTGAAATTTCTAAAAAGCAAATGCATCTTATTACATTTTTTGTGTACTGCTATCAGTTTGCTAGATATATCTAACATCAGACACATTTTGTAGGAACACCAAATGCAACACTTTCCCAAAAGCTTGGAGACTGTGACCCAGTGTAGCAGGATAATATTTAAACATTCTGATAAATTAGAAGGCACTGTTGTATTTAAAGGACAGTATAGTTGCCCAGTGGTTAGCACTGCTGTATTGCTGCACTGGTGCCTTAGGTTCAATTTGTGTAGAGCGTGTATGTTCTCCCTGTGTTTGTATGAGTTTCTGGCAGGTGCTCTGGTTTCCTCCCACAGTCCAAAGACATGCTAGTAGGTTAACTGGATTCTGGTAAAATTGTTTCTGGTGTGACAGCATGTGTCTGCCCTATGAAGGACACAGTTTCAATCCAGGGTGTACAGTATTTTCTCTTCATTTCTGAGAAAATGTGGTGTTTAATGTTTGAGCATTCAACATTAGAAAGCAAAATCAATCCCATATCACATTCAATTACTGACAATGAATATGGTGTCCAAAAGTGGGTACTAAGGCATTTAGCCTCTTTGTAGGCTGCATGGAAAACTCTGGCTATGGTGGATATTTGTCTAAGTTGATTATTGACATGGTCTGCATTGAAGTGTCTCTTTTAGATTTCTACTTGATATAGCTAAAGGTGCATGGGTTTGATCATTTTTCCAAAGTGCCCCTAACTGTTTTTTTAACATCTAAAACAGAGGAGGTCACAGTAGATGTCATCCATTCTTAAGCCAATTTCATGCCCTACATTTTTCCAGCCACTGGGAGACTAGAATTGACAGCTGGTATTCCTGAGCTCTAGAGAGCATAACCACAAAGCACAGTGTCCATGTCTTTTCTCATTGACAACTAGGGCTAATCTACTGTATATACTGTAACTGAAGGAGTGCAACCCTCCAAGACCTCAAGTGAATATCATTGGCCTATAGGGAGCTAACTCTTGTAATAAAGCTGGGTCCGTTAATAAACATGACATTTGAGATGCAAAATTAACTGAGCTTTCCACATGACATGTCAGTTTTTTGTTAAAAAGCCACTAAATTCAACTGGCAGATAAAGTGGTAAAAACACTCACTGAAAAAAGCTTGAAAAGAGGGTATCGGATAATTTTCCATTTCCTCTCTGTGTAGGCAAATATGGGGACGTTCACATTACTTAGATACTGAGAAAAAAGGAGAATGAGGCTCACAGTCCTGTTTAGATGACAAAATAGTTTTTAGTATACAGATCAAAGATAAATGGCTTTATGATGGTTCTTAGTTTGATTTATGTTTAATTAAACAATTTAAATGACAACAAGGAAAAATGGATTAATGAGGATTCCTGTGAAATCATCAGAATGAAACTGAGAACAGTGCTGTAATTTGATTTATTGTGCTGTTTATGTAGAATTATGGTAAATATGTTTTCAAGTATCTTTAAAACCTTAAGAAAACTTTTAAGTCATTGTATATTTCTAAACAGTTAATTTAAACAAACTACACTTGTACTATAGCACATTCTAGTTAGAGTAAGGGTTTAAATAGTTTATCATTATTACCATAATATTAGTTAAAAGGATATGTACATTATCTTAACACTGATGAGGCTTATACAGTATGCCTGAAAGTTATATTTTTTAAAAATATATTGAGCAAAAATGTTCAAAACAAAATATTGGGAAACAGCCTTTTTTACAAAAGGTATGAGTTGTTTTTATCATGTACAGAGTACTTAGAAAACGTTTTGAAAATGGTTACGTTTTGTCTTTGTAGGAGGTCCACACAGAAATGTAGCTCAGGGGATTAAAACCAAACATTATGGTCAATAAAAATAAAGAACAAAATCTTAAAAAATGTTCATTATGTATAATTGTGAACTGGAAATTGCTTATAACCACTGCAAGTTCCACTACTTTTAGGCTCAAAGGTGATGAGTTTGGCCTCCAGAGGTTCTTGATTCTCTGAAAAAGCTACAAAGTGTTTTACCCGGAATACAGATGTAATAGTTTGAAATTAAAAGGCTTGCAAGAAAAACTGTATATGCTGCATATGACAAATATCAATTTACTTGAACGCAAGCCACTGTCACCTCATTTTTAGAGGAGTAAAATCTCTGTATTATCAAGGTTATGAATTAGAAAAGAGCATATTTAATATAATTCCCAGTTGTAGATTCAATTTCACAGATGTCAGGAGATTGCCAAGGATAGGACAACATATAGTTTATACTTAAAAGTAAAAAAAACAAAGAAAAAAAAATATGTGAAATAACAGATTGATACTTACAAGGCAGCAATTCCCCAATGGCCCCCAGATTTCTTCCCAGCCTCAATGAAAAGTGAAAGTCCAATGAGGTTTATGGTTGGTGCAATAGCTAGAGGACCAATAAACCTAACAAGAAACCCAATGAGGCCTGACACTCCCAGCAAGACCTGGAGCAAGGAAACTATAAGAATAGCTCCTTGAATCTGTAAAAGGCAAAATTTTCCCTTAAAGATTTACTGGCATCTGGTGAAAAGCAAGTGTAAACAAGGGCAAACATATCTCATTTCAAGCAGCACATTCATCTGCATTATTTTTATAAAACAAGTGATTTTCATTTTTATCATGAATTAAATAATTTATCATCATTTTTGGATGACTAATGAATCAAGCTAATATAAATGCAATAGCCAAATGTATCAAAACCGTTGATGAGCTGTAATTAAAAGTTATTTCAGCATGAAATGTACACTCACTTTCTGTTTTTTTGAGAAACAAATTAACTAAATACTTGTAAGACTTTCAATATACAGTATATAAAAAGAACATCTGCAACAAACAGTTTATACAGTGCCTTGCGAAAGTATTCGGCCCCCTTGAACTTTTCAACCTTTTGCCACATTTCAGGCTTCAAACATAAAGATATAAATTTTTTATTTTATGT